CTGGATTTGAACCTGCCACCTTAGATGCATGTGGCTGGCGCCTTAGCTGCTTGAGCCACAAGCGCCGAGCCACTTTCTCAACTCTTGACAAATATACCACCATAATAACAAGGTCAGACTCAAATTTGAGTTCTATTCTGTACAAGAACATGACAAAGGGGAGAGCTGGCCCCTAGCCAGGCCCTGGTCCCTGGCCCACCCTCTTTCTCTTCCATCCTAAGCTCCTGCATGGACCTTGAGGTGCCTCTCACACATGTGTGTGGTCACTCCAGGCTGCATATTTAAGGCCTAGGTGTATACATAGTGATATACCCCACAGAAGGGGGTTGGGGACTCAGAGAAGGATCAGAGCTATTTGGCAGAGAATTCTGGGGTTCTCCAGGGGCATGGGGGCTGAGGGAGAGGAGCTGGTAGAACATTTAACTTCTAAACATTAGAATGTTAGCTAGGTGTGGTGGCTCACTCCTGTAATGCTTGCACTCTGGGAGGCCGAGGTAGGTGGATTGCCTTAGCTCAGGAGACCAGCCTGAGGAACAGAGAGACTCTGTCTCTACTAAAAAGAGAAAAAACTAGCTGGGCGTTATGGTAGTGCCTATACTCCCAACTACATGGGAGACTGAGGCAAGAGAATTGTTCAAGCCCAAGGGTTTGAGATTGCTGTGAGCTATGATGCCACGGTACTCTACCCAGGGTGACAAGGAGACACTGTCTCAAAAAATGCATAAATAAGTATTAGAATGTTTAAATTTGGATAGCAGCACAGAGTTGGTATCTTTCCAGGTACAATCATACTAAAATGTTCTAATTAGTTTTTTTCCTGTTATCAGATAAGGACATTCTTTACAAGACCATTTACAATACCATTATCACACCTAATAAAATTAATAATGATTACTTAGTATCACCAAATAACATTATTCCTATGCAAATGTCACCAGTTGTCTCTGAAACATGTTTTTGTAGTCACTTTTCTCTCTACACATTTATATTAATCTTTAAAACAGAAAAATTAAACCCCAGAGGGGGCAACTGCCCTACTCAGGATCATAAGGCTACTTTGTGGTAGATAAAGAACCAGAACTCAGTGTTAATAACTTTTTGGTCTGGTGCTCTTTAAATGATGGTAAATGATCACAAAGGGAACTAAACAGTCAAGACTTAGGGGATTGTAAAGGAGCGAAAATGGAAATACTAATTAGAGTCACTTTTGAAGCAGCCTTGGTGTCTCCTGGCATATTTCTAGTGCCCAGTGTCCTGATAGGGCTTTGAGATTTAGCAGTGTCCTCTCTACTCCCTCTCCTCTGCATGCAGGTATCACTGGAACCCACCTTTGGATGCTGCAGCATAAAGTCCACAGCTTCTTCAAAGTACTCCAGGTGTGTGTCACTCAAATATTCAGGGAGGTCTTCAAATCTGAAATAAGCCAGAGCAAGCACAGCAAAACCGTGTCCAGCCAGGAGACTGGCCCGATATTCACAAAGCCACCACCACTTCCAAACAGATCGATAATCCCAGGGGAGGGCCCCTCACCTAAAAGAACACCACAAGGTTTTAGATTCTCAAAACACCTCTTAGGTTTCAGATTTTGGCAGTTAGCAAAGAAGTTTTTGAAGCCAGGAGGGCTGGAGGTAGAGAGGTTGATAGAAGAACCTTGTTTACTTTTCTGTTTAAAGCAAGGGGGAAAAATGTCTTATTTTCTTTAGAGTTTTTCACACATTTTCACAAACAATATATAAATAACCCAAGTTAGAAATAACATTCTCCATGCTTTCTCATTTTCCTTAAAAACCAGGATCCATTTGAGAATGCTTTGAGAGCTGTAAAGTGCTCTACATACAAAGTACTCTCCTTGGGACACTATGTACCTAAGGGACCAGTGCCTAGTCCACCTTCAAAGCAATTTTGGAACTCTTTCTGGAATGACCATCAGAGCTATCACTGTACAGCACATGTAACATGTAACTATAATGAACGTCACTCAACAAGACACCAGCACACACTGACACAAACACAGTTGTGAGATGGTGGTATACCAAGGTTATGAAACTTTACTGAGTTGTTTGTACAGTGCTGCCAGTGTAAGTGCACAGTGGCAAGTTTGTCAACTTTTAACTGTCAGAGTTCCAAAATTGCTTTTAAGGATGGACTAGGCCCTGGGGTCAGTGCATATCTTCCCAAAGGGAATACTTTGAAGATGACTGTGGTAATAATCAGCAACCAGGAATGCAGCACTTTTTCTAAGATGAGTTCACAAACTTGTCAGACCTGTATGTAAGAGATTATTAGAATATATTCCCCACCTCTTTGCTGCAGCCTTAAAGAATGTCACCTCTAATGGTGCTATGTTCTCTTTGGCCCCTGAATATTGGTATACACTACTTTCTTTGCCTAGAATACTGTTCTCTCCCCCTTCCCACATTTTTATTGGTTGACTCAATTGTCAAGCCCAAGTTTAGATTTCCCTTCCTGATCCCCTCAAGGCTAAATTGCATTAGATGACCTTTTATATGTTCCCACTAGCTCACTGGGCCTGTATCTCCCCTATCATAGCACCTGTCACAATATGTTATATAGGAGCCTGGATAACTGTCTATATCCTCTATTAGACCCTAAGTACAGTTAGGCCTACATTTGACTTTGTTAGCTATCCCAGTGCTTTAGTATAGTCTTCATATGTATTTGTTAAATGATCAAACCCTTCTACAGTATTTACAAAAGCCTTTGAGAAAACAATAAATGTTAAAGGAGCCACACAGCAGACACTGAAATACTAGTTAACAAAGGATTGACTTAACTAGAATTATCAGATACCATGAGTGGGTAGTACACATAAGGGTTTGTTTGTTAATAAAAGTCTTTAGGGGTGGCAGCTGTGGCTCAAAGGAGTAGGGTGCCGGCCCCATATACTGGAGGTGGCAGGTTCAAACCCAGCCCTGGCCAAAACCTGCAAAAAAAAAAAAAAAAAAGGCACCACTGTTTAAAAAAAACTAAATATAAATAAAGAAAGAAAGATAAAAGTCTTCAGATCCTTACTGACTCAGTCAGTATGACTTATGGAGCTCCTACTATTAATATATCCTGGTGGAAGGTTTTAGGAATATAACAATATAGAAATGTGTAAGACCCGGTTGCAGCCCCAGGAGTTCATAGTATCCTCTATGTTAAGGTTAGGACTTGCTGAAGAGCTGTAAAAATTAAAGCAAGGTCTCTTGTTTTAGAGAATAATTACAAAACTGAGTTTAGGGATTCTGTGCTCTGTGGCACTTCTAGCAATTTTATATAGCAGGGTTTAAGTCAGGAATGAGGTTGGAAGGGGTGGGTCACAT